TTTGGCAAATGTATTAATTTTATCATGTATTTTTGAATTTCTGAAAGTTATCTAGGTGAAAACTAAAGCATAGTTTAAAAATAGTCATAAAACCCGGTAGCAAAAAAGGTTTTTTCCTCGCAAAAATAAATGGTCACAGTGTATTCCTGTTCTAAGCCACGATAATAAGAGGGGGATAACTTTAAAAAGATTTGCTTTGGTGCAGTACTGTCAAACGTGTGCCAGGAGTCATCTTCACTCTGAGGTATGGCCTAAGAGCCAGTTCAGTGGCCAGAGAAAACTACAGGTGTATTTGCGTTTATTCTGAGGAATTTCTGTTAGCTTTCTATGTAAGATAGCCTTATACCTCTGCTGTTAGTCAGTTTTGCTTTGATTTAATAAAAAAGAAGTAGAATCACACATAGGTATGTAACTTCCAGTTTTCACAAATCTGAGACATAAGTGCATTATTTTGAAAACTTAACAGACTACAAGTAGATTCATTTTGATTGATACCATATGGATAACATACTACTATATACCCTTTACTATTTGCTCTGCAGCTATTTTTGGCACTGCCATTCATAGACTAAGAAAAACAAATTCTCTTGTAGAGTACATGAAGTGAGACGAGCTTAAATATTGGTATAAAATAAGCGCTTATGAGGTGACCAACTAAAACCAGTCAGAACAGTGCTTGAGGTGCTGGAAATTGCCATAGATCCTAAGAAAGTCAATGGGGGACATGACTTGATGTCCATAAAGCCCTGATACTTTGACTCACTTTGCACCCAGTGTTTCCCTGGATGCTTGGTAAAGAATGGAAGAGGCATTCAACCTTAAAAATATTTAATTGAAGCTAAATTCCCTTCGACTTGCGATGGTGCTGGGGATGGGATTAGCAGTAGAGGGTGTTGTGGGTGCTTCTTGTGTCAGACTTGGCTTCCAAGACACAGGCTTCTTTTCATACGATAACGAGCCGCATGATTAAGGATGCTGTGCCACAGCAGTGGGAAGTTCTAGGTGCTGTTGTCAGTATTGGTAACTCAGATTTCTTTTATTTTATTTTTTTTTTAAATAATATGCCTTAATTCAATAAAATCAATGGAATACAGGTATAACGTTGCTATTCCATTTTAATCTACTTTGCAATGTGAGGACAAGCTGTGAGGAGCTGTGTGCAATGTATTGTGGAGCAGTAACCTTAATGTGGGAGTCTGTTTATTTGCATAAGAACCATAATGTTTTATACTGAGCTCATTGTGTCATGTTACTTGAACAGATTGAAATAAAAGAGTAAACTACACTATACAAGTTGATCAATGCATAAAGTAGTTTTTGTGTTGATGCTAGGGTAGCAGTAGTTATATTGGATATTACAATTCTTTGAGATATTTCTTGAAATTAAAAAGGGAAGCATGATTTTGGGATTTTTGATGATTGAAAGATTGTAGTGTTGTAGGAAATTATGTTCCTTATGATAATTTAAAGAACAGCTTCCCTAAACAAACTTAATAACAGAATTAATTTTACTATGTAGAAAAGAATCCCTCATCAAATGATGGCAGTACGTTGATTATACCAAATACGCTATTTGCATTGTAGTGTGGCTTTTGTGATAATTGTATTAGTAACAAAAAGCTGCTGAAGGTTTTCAGGGAGTAACTTGTACTACAAAAATGCTGAAAAGTACTTAAAAAAAAAAAAAAAAAAAAAAAAAAAAGGAGGGGGAGAATCTTACCTTAAAATGAATTAATGGTCTTGGATGGATCTTTCCTGTTGGGCGAGATGTTCAATACACTTCAGCCAGCTGGCTTAAGTCCTTGTAAGAATACACTTGTCCTAAGGAAGATTAGTCTTTTTGATGATTAGTTCACTGCACTGAGCCTCACCTTATTCTTGACGTATATAACCGAGTGTTTATATATTCACAAATCTTATATAAATACATGCAGTCCTAGAGCCTTTGCAAGCATTTCCATTATCAGTGTTTTATGATTTGTTTTACATTAAAGCTTTCCTACTTGATGTAGTGTTTTAGCCCATAAATATTGATTTCGATGACAAAATAATTAGGTTAGTTTACGTTAAACAAACAGATAGCATTTTTGGAGGTCTGCTGGCTTTTAGATTAATTTTTAGGAACACTATATAGTGGTTTGTAGGAACTAAATCTATTACAGTTGCTTATAGTTGAGAGACAACTACCAGTGCCTGATATTTCTCATCATTGGGCAATGCTGTATGAATGGAAGTACTTTCTTTTCCTTTTTCTTCATTGAAAAAAGTCCTTTGCTGACAGCAAATATGTTATACTCTGCCAAATGAAATAGTGCATGAAATTCTGCTCTCTTTTTTTAAGGAAGAAGTTTCGTGTCGTTTCCATGATTGTACATTGAAGTACTGAAGTTTCACGCAACCTAATTGTATTTTTCATCTTAACTGTAACTAGTGATCAGATAATTATTCTGGCCTTAAAAAAAAAAAAAAATCTAGCTATTACAGATGCTCGATGGCTGGTTTCATTACTTAAATTGAATTCAAGATATAATGAAATTATTTATTAGCATTTTTTGAAAGCGGAAATGTGCTTTTAATGCTTCATTTTGTTTTACACACTAATGTTGAAGCTTCTCGATTTATTTTCATAAGAATAAACATGGATGTTCTAGGAGTGTGCATGTGGGTCACATACTTTTTTTTGCCATAGTTAATAAGTGCTTTTTGAAAATTAGGTACATCAGATGTCTCTAGACTAAATACGGTCTCACAGGAATAGTTAGTCATTCCTTGGAAATAATTATTTCTTATTGAAAAATAAATGTCATAGTGCATTTAATCCGTACTATAATTTGCATCCATCTGTAAGCATGTGACATTGTTTTTCTCTTTTCTTCGTCTGCTCTTCTGGACCATGTTTGTACAGAAGTATTTACAAGACCCATTGAGAAATCGCTGTCTTGTTTGCTATTAAGAGCTCGGTAAAAAAAAAAAAAAATCTGTAAATTGGATTTTGCTCTAAAAGAATGTGTTGTCTGTTTTGAGAGGTTTTCCTCTTTCTGTATATTACTTGACAGTAGACTGCATTTGTTTTTCATGCAGGTATAAATAACTGCTAAATAGAGAAAAGGAAAGAAAAAGTTTCCCAGAGTTTCATACAAGAAGGTTATTTCCCTTCCAGACAGGGGCAGATGATCACAAGCAATAATATTGTACGAAGTTACCCTTCCTCTTTGTAACTGATACACGACTGCCCCTAATTTACTGCAAATGTGAAGTGAAATGGATTTGCTTAAATTATCTCTTGTTAGCTGTGCGTGGCCTTCATTGGGAATGAAGCTAACCCATTTTACTTCAGATTTCTGTGGCCTAGAAGTATTTTGTGAGCAGCTGTAGCGTTTCAGGCAAGCATTGGTACCTCTAGGATGAAAACGGTGGCATCCGAAGAAACGCTAGCTGGACTGTGTGCTGTCGTCTGATGATGCTGTTTGAACATCGGTTGTAGGCATGCAACAACACTGATGGTGAAGACAAAAGCAGCTCGCGTGGCGTTCGCTCTGGCACTGGGCACTGTCCACCCACAGCCGCTACTCCTCAGTCTGACCACTGGTCTCGGCTGTTAATGGTTGCACAGTTCTCGTTTCAGCGAGCTGAATGACCTAGGCTATTAAGGGCTGAAAGGGGAGTGACAGGAATTGCAGTAAGGAAGGCTGCCTGATGCTTCCCAGTATAAGATACTGGTTGGAGTTTTTTATAACTTTGAAAAACATTAGCCTTTGGGGCTAGGCAGTTGACTCTAGCTTAATTTTTGTTCCTGCCAAAATTATTTAGCTATCTGTAAGAATGTGTGGAAAAAGTTATTTCTCATTGTAGGTTTGTTTGGTGTTTTGTGGGTTTTTTGTTTGTTTTTTGTTTGGTTGGTTGGTTGGTTGGTTGGTTTTTTGTTTGGTTGGTTCCCCCCCCCCCCAAAAAAAAGAACCTCTCTTTGGAAATGCTCTGTGTGCCTCTGTCTGAAGCAGAGACCAGGCATTAGATGGCAGTGTGGAAAGTGCTGGTGATAGGCACTGGAGAAGAAGAGGGGCTTATGAGTCACGGTTTTGCCTTTGTCAGCACTGCAAAAATCTCAGATCTAACCAAACTGTAACCTTTTAAAGAAATCACAGTTCTTGCATGCCGTCTTGAGCATGTGAGAGCTGCATGGCCTGGAAGGAGAGGGGAAGCCGATGTCTTGTACCCCAGCACCTGAGAGCCACAAGCAGACCCATGGGGCACTGGCACGCACGAGGCCCTGGCGTGGTCCTGGCCCCCAAATACTGTAGACTGTGAACAGGGGAGAGAGACCTGGGGTGAGAGTGAGAGTTAACACAGCGGTGTGTTGGGGAATGAAGGAGGGAGGAAGGAGGGGGCGTCAAGGGGAGTGTGTGGCACTGCTGGCCAAGCCTGGAAGTGTCTGAGCCAGAAGAGGTGAAAAGCCTTGGGGAGTGGGGGTGAGGAGAGACTCGGCAAGGGCGCTGAAGGTGGGAATGAAGAAGGACCAGGGCTTGAATCAACATGGGCCAGAGGATATGGCTTGAGGAAAACAAGCAAACGAGTTTGTTCTGGAAGGTCCTTTTCTATAGAGATCTTTGAATATAAATAAACACTCTTTGATTTCAGCA